TCTATTTTCAATATCTAAATCCAACCTTCAAAACAACAACAACAATTAAGTTTTAGGGTTTGTCCTTATTGAAATTAAGTTTCAGGGATTTATAATACAATTTTATGAAGGGTTATAAGTTATGGTAAACTTTTAAGTCTATCAGAAAACAGGAGAAGTAGTGTATATATATATCAGACGTTCTAAATTATAAACTAATTTATTGGTTGCCTTTTGTGGGTTGATTAAAGTAAGAACACTATGGAAAACCTGGAAGCATTGGACGGCAGATTTGTCCTAGTATGGGACTACTCAGTATTGCGCACCTACAGCACCACCCGCGGGATTAGAGTCTAGGACCTTCGGTTTCGTGCGCGAACGCTTAACCTCTAGACCAATGAGCCAGCATCCAATGGTCTAAATTCAACAAATCCCTGGGTTCGAATCCTGCAGGCGGGATCGTAGATGCGCACTGGTGAGAAGTCCCACAATAAAACGAAACGGATGTCCAGTGCTTCAAAGTTTTCCATGGTGATCTAGCTACAATTGACTCATGATTTCAACTTACAAATTACTCAAATATCCACAAAAGCCCCTTCTGAAAATAGATTTCTGTAAAGTTTACTAAACACTTAAAAAAGAGTATTATGGAGTCACAAAACTAATTGAAATAAATGATTAGAAAGGGGTTTTGTGGAGGTAGCAGTAATTTACTAATTGAATTCATGAGTCGACATAATCTAAACCACCATGGAAAACCTGGAAGCACTGGACGTCTGTTTCGTCCTAGTATGGGACTCCTGAGTAGTGCTCGTCTACAATCCTCTCGAGGGATTCGGACTAATTATCGTATCCTCTTCTTAAAATATGTTAACACAGTGATGTTTGACTTGTACTGGAAAGCAAACGTAATGCAAAAAATACTTCGTGAATACATTTTCCCAGATGATTACCATCAATACATCACCATTAACCAATACACTATATTACTAATAAATTTGTCTGTAACTTCACCTGTTTATATAGACTTTTTAACTGATACCCAGTCTTTCATAAATATCCTACATTTGAACCTTAAACAGTAAACCAATGCAGGTAGGTATAAAAACAAGCCTTACTTGCAAGATAAACTTAAAAATAGAATATTGTTTTGTGTAGATTTATATGTGACATTATAGTGCTAGAAACTTATAGAATCTTCCCAAAGTCGCCAAATCAGTATGCCTCGCAGTATATCGTCTTCTTGTAATACTCTGAAAAGTCTCTTTTGAACACTGATTAGATGAAGTATTTTCATGTTTTCCCGGCTTCTGAATACCTTTCTTAGGAATTCAGGAGAAATCACAACACTAGCTAAAAATTTCACTCAAGCCTCCATTATTTATAGTCCAAAAAATCAAATTAGTTATTGTTCGTTATGATCTGATATTATAATATAAAAACTGTAGATTGTTTATTGGTATCGATTCAATATCCATAACATACATCTTCACTCAGAGACTCGAACCCAGTACCGCGACTGCATTTGAAGCAAACAGTTCTGAGTCCAAGTGCAGGAGTGAAAAACAATTCCGGGATGCAGGTACATCCAGCTGACGAGTTTCAAATAGAACGAAACGCGCGTACTGTATTCCACTATTTGCCACTATCCACTTTTGCCTATAATGATTGAGAATTAAGATAATATCAAGGCAATCCGTACAGTATGCACATATGCCTATAAGAGACTGATCAATTGCAGTACTAAATATCACTGGGAAGATTTAAGTAAACTATACCAAGTGAATTTATTATTTTAATAATTGAATTTATTAGTCGATTTAAGCTAGACCACCATTGGTAACCTGGAAGCAATGGACCACCATTTCGTTTTAATATGGAACTCCTCATCAGTACATATCCACGATCCTGCATGTGGGACTCGAACACAGGACATTTGGTCTCGTAAATGATCCCCTAACCTTCAGACCATTCAGTCGATATCCAAAATATTCGTTTATGTTTAATTTTCCAACTAAAGTAAATCAGTGTTAAAGTGTACAGAACATTGAAATCTCTCAGAAATTTCCATTATTTAAACTGCATTTTATATTTAGTCGTCGATTTTAATTTTTTTTAAAATTCACATCGAAGTTTGTACGATTATTTCATTGCATAAGAACAATCGAATCATTCTTAAAATACAAGTTTATATTACCAAGAAAAGCATTTATACTTTCTGTCAATGGTATCACATAAATTACACATAACCACTCATATATAAACAGATACCGTTAACAATTTTGTATCTAAGCAAATGATTCTATTTTAATGAAAGTTACAGTTAATTGACTTAAATTTTGTTAGTATGTTGTACAGAACAATAATAATAATAATAATAATAATAATAATAATAATAATAATAATAATAATAATAATAGTAGTAGTAGTAGTAGTAATAGTAATAGTAATAGTGGTAGTAGTAGTGGTGGTAATAGTGGTAGGAGGAGGACGAGGAGGACGAGGAGGAGTAGGAGTAGGAGAAGGAGTAGTAGTAGTAATGATCATAAGCCTAAAGTTTTCTCACAAATACATAAACATTTTTCAACTAGAAGACTAAATTTTTTTATTCCAGATTATTTACATTCATTAGTTACTAACCTATGAGTATAAATGAAACGTTTATAGAATTACTGCTATTCTAAATAAAATGAGTCAATAAGAATGATTAATTTACATGATCACTTTTATGTATAATCTATGCACTAGTTCAGTCTTAATTTAATACATTTATGTATTGTCATAGTCTTTTAATATTTCCCTGTGCAATATCTTTATAGATCTATTTTTGGATATGAATTGTTTATTCAAATGAATTCTTGATTCCAAAACAAAGAAACAGAACGTTTTAGTATCAACCAAAGAATGTAGAATGACAGATTCGACGTCGTTGTCATTGAAAGTTCTATAGAATAATCTCTATTTCAATATGACAGCTTATAACAATTCACATATCTATCCATCTATCTATCATCATATGTTCATTCATCTATAACTTTGAATAAGTAATTTATTGTTGATAAATTCGAAAGAACTTTATATTAACCGATAAATAAACATTAGAATGAATAGTTTTAATAAAGCTGATATACCAGTTAAATGTGTTTTTCTGTTAATGTTTCTTTAGATTGTTGATAGATATTTAATGGATAAAACTTTACAATGATTGCTTGATTATGTAATAGAAAATAATATGAATGTTTCAATAGTGAACCTATTTTTTTTTATCAGATGAAGTCTGTGGATATTATAGTAATTTCAGTGATTAAGATCATGAGTCAGTTGAAGCTAGACCGCCATGGAAAACCTGTAAGCACTGGACGGCCGGTTCGTTCTATTGTGGGACTCCACGACACTGCGCATCCATGAACTCGCCCCCTACGAGGTTCGAACCCAGGACCTACTGGTTCCGCGCGCGAGCACAATTTCATTTCAAATATGTCTTATAAACTTCTAAATTGATACCATCTTATAAAACATTAACAGAAATACAACATTTTTCTAATGATGGATTGGTATTTTAGTTGTTTAGACTACCATCTCATATCAAAGATTTTCATCTCTCTTTTAATCTTAAACTTTGTTTAATTCTACATATATGCTTTACTGAATTAATTCAAGTAAGTGAAGTGAGTTAACACAAATACACAAGTATATGAATCTTCCATATAAATACAGAGGTTGAACGATTGAAGTATCCAATAAAACCCGAGAAACACTTCAGGAAATTTACTTACTCATATGGTTTCTTCATAGACCTGAAGTGTTGAAGAAAACAAATCGTTTAAAAAGAATCCTGATGATTATATGGATGATATGAGGCCAGGACAGTCGTCCAATTCATAGGTTGATGAGAACAACAAACATGTAAAATTTTCTAGACCTTCCTATTCGAAATTTACTGTATTATTATTATCTCATAGTTTTAATTTTTTTTAAAAGTCATTCGTGACCAGAATTTCCCAAAAAAACATGAAACGATGACACACATGGAGATCATGAATACTAGAGAATTTCAGGGGTGTTTTGATCATCAAAAAGGGAAATGGGATAGAACTTTACTGACAATTTGGAGTATTTTAAGAGTGGTTAGAGTTATGTACCTTATGTACATATTTATCAGACAAAGCATATATATATAATTAATGCCACAAGACATTTGCAAAGTATTGAGTAACGAGGAACGTATTTGCACACATTCATCGTTTCATACTACGAAAATATAATTGTTCATTGTTCACAAACCAAGGTCCTCAAATTCAAAGCGGAGAACAGTAATCCAATCACTCTTGATGGCGAAACTCTGGAAGATGTAGAATCCTTCACATATCTGGGAAGCATCATCGATGAACAAGGAGGTTCAGATGCAGACGTAAAGGCGAGGATCGGCAAATCAAGGGCCGCTTTCCTACAATTGAAGAACATATGGAACTCAAAACAACTTTCAACCAATATCAAAGTGAGAATCTTCAATATGAACGTCAAGGCAGTTCTACTGTACGGAGCTGAAACTTGGAGAACTACAACAGCCACCATCAAGAAGGTACAAGTATTTATAAATAGTTGTATATGCAAAATACTCAACCTCCATTGGCCGGATACTGTCAACAACAGCCTTCTGTGGGGGAGAACAAACCATCTTTTAGCTGAAGAAGAAATTATGAAAAGACGATAGAAATGGATAGAGCATAAATTACGCAAATCATCAAACTGCATCACGGGGCAAGCCCTAACTTGGAATCCTGAAGGGAAGTGAAAAAGAGGAAGGCCAAAGAACACATTGCGTCGGATAATAGAAGCAGATATGGAAACGATGGATTACAACTGGACAGAGCTAGAAAGGATTGCCCAGGACAGGGTTGGATGGAGAATGCTGGTGAGTGGCCTATGCTCCTTCACGAGGAGTAACAGGCGTACGTAAGTAAGTAAGTAATTGTTCACAAAACCAGCTATATCAGTAATGTGTAAATTTCAATACTTACCACCAACGTCCTTTAATTTGAGGTACTTTCTCTTCTGTATTACTTTTATTCTGTTTATTGAATTTTATTGAATTAATTACTGGATTTTGTTGATTTTGCCATTTTAATTGAGTTTTATGCCTTAATTGTTTATTTTGATGATCAGCATAATTTGATAAACTTTTATTATATGCACTTTGTATAACTGATGAAGGGTATATTGTAAGCGGTTGAAAAGATGATGATGATGATGAAGAGGTAGGCAATTTCATAAATTTTGTTCTTTTCATATCAGAATATTGATTTAGTAGACGTGATCGTTGAGCTATTTGTTGTCTGTATGGATTTAATTCTTGTTCTTTATTCCATAAATAGGAAGTTTGTAAATTATCATTGATTTCATCAATAATAATCTTATTATTATTATTGTTAGTAGTAGTAGTAATAGTAGTTGAGTTGTTGCTAACAGTTTTACTATTCAATGGAAGATTATTTTCTGATGAATAAGAATTAGAAGCATCATCAAAATAAAATTTATCATGAAAATCAGAAAATTTACGTTGAAGTTTTGTTTGTATAAAAGATGGAAACACTAGAGAAGATGATGATGAAGTTAATTGTGCTACAGAAGCTGCTGGAACTGCTACCACTCCTTCCTTTGACGATGGCGACGACGACGACGACGACGAGGATGATGATGATAGTATATTTGGTAAATAATGTTTTTCTGAAAGATATCTAACAGGAAACTTGAATCTATTCAAATGATCCGGTAATGTTTTTATATATTGACCATAAATATTATATGATAAAATGATTAAAAGAAATAAATTATAAAGTTTAATCATTTGCATTATATCTTTCAATTTATTTCTCATTCCATAGTATCAATGTTTATACTCTTATCCATTTATTTCATGTTTTACAATGTAGCGTATGAAAATCCAATGACAAATTGATGGGATTAAGTTAAACAATCATCAAGAAAGAAACAACTAGAAAAACTGTACTTATTTGAAATGATCATATAAAGTGATTATCAGTAGTAGTGGTAGTAGTAATAGTCGTAGTTCTATAAAATTATACTGAGTAATTATGTAATATCAAAGTGATAATAATGTTTCAATATTTATAATGTAGATAATGTATATAAAAGTAGTTACTGTGTGATTTCCCGTCGTTTGTTTCTTTCTTCGAAAAGAAAGAGAATAGAAGAGTAGATCAACAACAACAACAACAACAACAACAACAACAACAACAACAATGAAGAGAATTGGGTTTAGAACAAATAAACACCGTAGTACAAATAATTCATTCAATTATATGTATGTATTCAAATGAATAATTCAATTTGTATTTATGTCATGACCATGTGTTCGTATCCATCTATCCATAGGTATCATTAATAAGATTACTGTATTGTGTATTATGATATTAATAAACATTAATAGTGATTATATTCAAAATGGTATTAAATCTCAATAGAACGTGTATATATATATACATATATTAGTGCAGTATATTAGATTGAGTAATGAAAAAAAGAGAGTTTCTTCACAGTTAATTTTGTTACAGTATACCTTTTACATGAATAGGATTTCATGGTGTAGTGTTGTTTTTTTTTAACTTGTTTTATGCATTATGTTTATATGTACGTATGTTTGTAAGTAGTATGTATGTATGTATATATGCATGTCATTGTATGTATTGGTGAAGTGTGTAAAATTAAACATCGATAAATATAACATTTATATTCACTGGAAAGAGATATAAATTTGTATCTAATTTGATTCGGTGCAGTTTTGGGTTCTTCTTAATTTATTTTTTTTGTCTTGTATGTACAACTGTGCTATTTATGTCTGTCTATAATACTGACCCTGCAAAATTTTGTGTAAAATATTAATAATCATAATAATCACATTGGCGAGAGAGAGAGAGAGAGAGAGAGAGAGTGACAGGGTGAGGGGATACAAGAATTTTTTTTCATATGCTAAACATACACTGGGATACAGTAACCAATCCAGTAACTAATTTGTCAATCATCAAAATGAAATGAAATCAACTAATTTTGGCCTATTGAACTATTGAACGAATAAATGTACATATTTATCCATATACAATGTGTGTAATTGAATAAAATATTAGATAGCAATTTATAGCCTTTATGTCAATGTGATTTCATCTTTTCCAGCACTGGATATTCATTCATTCATAAAGGCATAATGCATACAAGTATTAGCTTATAGATGAATGATTCTTTCATTTCACCTGTCACCATTAAAAATGTAAAAAAAGAAGATAAATAAATAAATAATTACAACTGTCTAGTGTAATGTGTAAGCATAGATTCACTTTGTATGTGTGCGATATAACCAATGATACAATAACTAGATTCATGATTATTAAAATATTATGATTTAGTAACCATGTAGTAATTAGAACTATCATTAAGTGATTGATGAATATCTAATTCTTGATTTATTGATCATTTTTATATTAAAGAAAAAAAAACTCATCCATTTTAATCTTTTTCACCTTTTCTTCTTCCTCATCATCTTTATCGTCAGATAATTTGATTTACTGATTACAGTCTTACTTGTCTAAGATTAATTACTTCTCCATGTAGTTTTTTCTATTAGTGGTCGTCTGTAGAAGGAAAATGATTTTTTTAAATAAAGAAAGTAAAAATCTACTATCACCACTGTGAATAAAATATGTCAATCAACATCAACAGTACTATTCATAAGAATTACAATGAAATATTGACAGTTTTAAGGCGAGACTATAATTTATGGACGAACCATTCAGATATAAGATAACGAGTCACGATTAGTGGCGCAAAATTCATCCATACATTTGGCTAAATAGAGTTTTGGCATTATAACTGATGTCAGTTCGCGATGAAAACTTTAAATCTAGATTTTAACCTTAACCATCAACTGTAAATGAGAATTGTAGCTGCTTCATAAACCTCATTTAGTCCTAATCAGTAGGTGTCCATTCTCAAGGTCACTTAAGCATCGCTCATAGGTCGTCCATAAATTATAGTCTCACCGCTTTAGCTAAGAAATAAGTTTAGAATTTGTACTGTACTTTAATGTAAGCTAATAATCATTCAATAAAAAATTAAAATCATCTGATTTAATACAAGAGAAAATAATTAAAACAATCTTTTGATAAATGGTTTAGTTAGGTTTTGTTGGGGACGTTAGATCCCCAGAACTCACTTGGGAAAGGACCTAATTCTTTAATTTTATTTAGAAAATTTGAATTTTCTTTATTTTCGCGCCAAAGGCGCTCTTGTCACCTTTATGTCGTATTTCACACTGGGAAGTATCTTGAATGCTATTGGTCCGTTGCGTCTTTTAATATTCTATTTGGTAACTCTCTCCAAGGACGATTTTGTACTGTATATATATTTTTTGAATTGTGTTTGTTGTTATCGTTCGTTTCTGGCTGTTTGCAGAATATACTTCCCATTCCAAGCTCGGTCCTCTACCCCTAGTTAGCGAGGCTGGGACGCATCAAATAGCTAGCTTACTGGTCTTTGGTCACTGAGTCTTTATTCTTATTCGCAGACTAAATGAACTCGTGATAGCTTCAACCCTAGCGAATTTGGCGACTGTGGTTTCGGAAACATCGATCCTTCTAAACTTGAATTATTACTCGAGCAGCAGATGAAAGCGCGGGATACAATGGACATCTAAGATGCAGTTGGATGATCTAGACTTCGCAGACGATCTGGCCCTTCTATCCCAAACGCAACAACAGATGCAGAAGAAGACAAACAGTGTGGCAGCAGCCTCAGCAGCAATAGGTCTCAATATACACAAAGGGAAAAGCAGGATTCTCCGATACAACACAGAATGCACCAATCCAATCACAATCGACGGAGAAGATTTGGAAGATGTAAAAACCTTTACGTATTTGGGCAGCATCATTAATGAACAGGGTGGATCTGATGCAGATGTGAAGGCGCGGATCGGAAAAGCAAGAGCAGCATATTTATAACTGAGGAACATCTGGAACTCAAAGCAACTGTCAACTAATACCATGGTCAGGATTTTCAATACAAATGTGAAGACAGTTCTACTGTATGGGGCAGAAACCTGAAGAACTACAAAAACCATCATCCAGAAAATACAGGTGTTTATTAACAATTGTCTACGCAAAATACTTCAGATCCATTGGCCGGACACTATTAGCAACAACGTACTGTGGGAGAGAACAAACCAGATCCCAGTGGAGGAAGAAATCAGGAAGAAGCGCTGGAAGTGGATAGGACACACATTGAGGAAAGCACCCAACTGCGTCACAAGACAAGCCCTCACATGGAATCCTGAAGGTCAAAGGAAAAGAGGAAGACCAAAGAACACATTACGCCGGGAAATGGAGATAGACATGAGAAGAATGAACAAGAATTGGATCGAACTAGAAAAGAAGGCTCAGGACAGAATGGGTTGGAGAATGCTGGTCAGCGGCCTATGCTCCATTGGGAGTAACAGGCGAAAGTAAGTAAGTAAGTAAGCAGATGAAACCTATTCAGATGTTACCAGATACAAAGCTTACGTCTAATACTCAACCAAGCAGTTTTAATCCTGCTACTACTGCACCATCAGTTGATGGTATTGCTAACAGTATCTCCGAGTTTCATTACGATCCGGAATCCAATGTCACTTTTGATATGTGGTTTCGATGTTACGAAGGCATTCAAATTTGACTTTGCTAATCAGAATGATGCTTGGAAGGTTTGCTTGCTGCTTCGAAAGTTGGGTCCTAGTGAACTAGACAGGTATTGCAACCTAGTTCTCACTCATTCTCGGACACTGTCCAGTCATTGAGCCAATAATTCGGAGACAACTCCTCACTATTCAATGCGCGCTATTGATGTTTGAAACTCACTATGAACGAAGATGATTATTTTCTCACACATGTGGGTATGGTCAACTGAGAATGTGAACGCTTACGGTTGAAGTCGCTTGCTAAAGACCAATTTAAAGCACTCATTCTCATCTGCAGCCTTCAATCGCAGAAGTTCAGTGACATTAGAATACGTTTGCTAAGTCGATTGGACCAAGACCCGAAACTAACCTTAATGATATTGCAAACGAATATCAACGTCTAACCAATCGACAGCGTGACACTACGATGGTCCAGCGTGGTGGTTCAGATCGTACCGAAGTTCATGTAGTCCAACAACCACCCAACCCGCATAAATCTGCCCCAGCGACATCTAGTTCGAGTCAACAGAAAAAAACAAATCCTCCTGCCCTTATGCTGGCACTGTAGTGCATGGCATTTTGTTCGATACTGTCCATATAAACAACATCGGTGCAGGAAATGTAATGCGGTGGGTCATAAAGATGGTTTTCGTCAAGAAAAGAAGCCAAACAGCTCCAAAGGTACCAGAAAACCTACGTCTAGATCCAACACGAATTCGTTGAGTCTAATAGCAAGCTGTGAGAACTCAACTCCAGTTAAGAGGAAATTTTTTACCCTTAATATTAATGGGGGCCTGCTTAGATTGCAAGTAGACACTGCATCTGACGTAACAATTCTCTCACGAAAATACTGGATCAGAATGGGAAAACCACGCATGGTGCCAACAACACAGAAACCTTGAACCGCATATGGTAATTATTTACGTTTGTTGTGACAACTAGATTGTAACTTTTCTTTTCACGATTCGACGTATACCGGGGTGTATTACATGACACCAGCTGATCTTAATCTACTTGGTTTAGACTTGTTTGACCGACTAAATTCAGCTGACGTTCCGTTAAGCACCGTGTGCCATCTGGCGAAACAACTTCATGAACCTGAAGCAAATTCAAAAGAACTAATGACGGAGTTTTCAACCGTTTTCCACTATGTATTAGGTCAGTACACTTCTGTGAAAGCAATATTTCGGTTGAAAATTGGAACTAAATCTGTATTCCGTCCAAAGAGGCCAGTGCCATACGCAGCATTATCGAAAGTTGACGAAGAAATTAAACGCCTTCAACTTCAGGCAGTTATTACACCTGTTTTATATTCTGCTTGGGCAGCACCCATTGTGGTTATTAAGAAGGCTAATGGCACAACCTGAATATGCGCAGATTTTTCCACAGGTCTTAACGCAGCTCTTGAACAGCATCATTACCCACTCTCAGTCCCTGCAAATTTGTTCAAGATGTTAAATAGTAGGAAGTTCTTTGCAAAGCTGGATCTCGCTGATGCCTATCTACAAGTGGAAGTGACTGAGGATTCGAGAGAGTTACTTACCATAAATACTCATCGTGGCTTTTTTCAGTACAATCGCCTACCATTTGGTGTTAAAATAGCTCCATCTATTTTTCAGCAACTAATGGATACCATTCTATCGGGTATCCCGGGGGTCGCAACTTATCCCAATGATATCTTAATTGTTGTCACAACGTTAGAACAGCTTTGAGAACGCACGACAGCTGCCCTACAACACGTCAGCGATAACGGATTCCGATTACGCCCAGAAAAATGCCAGCTTTTCTTGAAGTCAGCTAAATACTTGGGATTCATCTTTGATGCCACAGGTCGCAGATCAGATCCTGAAATCATCCGAGTTATAAAACTGATGCCGACTCCCACTAATATCTCTGAGCCACGATCATTCCTGGGATTAATTAGCTACTACTCAGCTTTTGTTCCGTCGATGCATGACATACGCGTCCCGCTAAATCATCTTCTGAATAAGAACACCAGAGGGAATATGACAAAGTAATGGGAAGCTGCATTTTGCAAGTTGTAAACAAGAATAAGCTCTGAACTATTACTG